TTTCTTGATCTTCCCCTGGTTTAAAAGGTGATTTTGCTGGAAAGGAAGTGAAACAGTTTAGAATGAGAGGCGTGAGAACTTGAGATTAGGTTGTTGAGGGAGACTGTGTCTCTCCAGCTTGAGCAGAGCAGCACGATCTTTAGGTTAGAAAACAGTCATTTCATTCCGCTACACCAAGAATTTGTTAATTAAGCCCAACCAGCCATTCCTCCCCATCCCCACATATTTCTCTCCTCCTTCTCCCTCACATCATCACACAAACATGCACATAGGACCTTGGGGGGTGGACCCCATTTCCCCATTCCTGTGGCAACCTGCCCCCCAATTTTATTTGCACCTTATACACTTTCACCGACGACATTCCACGCAAACACACACTTAGGGCCTTGGGAGTGAGCACATTCAACGGCACTTGGCAGGGGAATTTCTCAGCCTCCTCCCGAGTGCCAGTGCCCACTTCCAATTTTAAACTGCACTTAGACACCAAGGGCTGTGGGTGCAAGTGGGCTGGTGTGGTGGCATCAGCTGGCATAGGCCAGACAATGCCCACACTGCCCGCTCACCACAGCCATTGAATACACCTCATTAACACACAACACTATATTGGAGCAGGTGGAGGGAGACTAGGGGTCTTAGCACACCTCTGTTGTTGCTTGGCTTCCTGGGGCTGGAGGCTAGGAGGGAGATCTGGCCGTCTGGTTGGGGTCTGGTGTGGTGGGTTGCTGTGCTCAGCGTTGGGCAGGGGAGCCTGCTCATCAGCACCCCAGCAGAAAGGGTCAAACTCTGGTAACCGGTGATGGTTGTACCCCATGTGCAGCAGTACCGGGACCAGAGTGAATAGGGAGTGTATAGGGAGCATGAGTGGATGTCCGGCGTGCATTTTTGTAAGTCTTTGGTTGTATGTGCATGTGTGAGCATGAGGGAGGGAGTGTGTGACTGTGTTTGTGCATGACTGTATATGTCAGGCGGGGCCTTTGACTCCTCCCCTAGCCTGGGACTTCTTTTGATGATATAGATCTTCGTCTCCCCTCCCCCTGCCACACCTGGTGTGGGGTGTGGTGCCTTGGTCTGCCTGAGTGTTCGTGGCTCCCGGGTCAGGGGGTTTAAGATCGTTGGCGCCTGCCTGGTCAATCTGGTGGCAGCCTGGTGGGGTCTGGGTCCCCGGGCTCTGCTGGGTCCCCGGCGGGGGTGGTCGCCCCTGGGTCCCAGGTCGCTGGGTCCCGGGCTCGGCCGGCTAGGGGGTGGGAGGCTGCGGGCGGGCCTGAGGGCTTTCCACTGATGTCTCCCGGGACTCTGCCGGCTGCTGGTTGTGGCCCCCTGGGGTGATCCTCTGTGCCTCTCGAGGGGGGCGGGGGCCTTTCTGGTTGCAGTCTCCTTGGGGTTCCTGTGTTCTGGGGCAGCGCCTGGATCTCTGGGACTTGGAGCTCCCCCGTCTCCTACGCATCTTTGGGGGGCAGATCTGTGGTCCCTCACACTCTCTATTGGACGCTCCTATAGAGAAACCTTACATAAACAAGCGCGTGTACACACACAGGTGCTCTCAAAAGTATGGACTTGGGCACATTCAACACAGGTCTTAAGACTATGGTGGGCACTGTGATTTACTATCGTGTGACTGTTCAGTTAAACAATGTTGATTATGTATTTCTTCATCAAGTTGACGCAGTGATAGCTTGATCTTGTTGTATTGTTGTTGTGTCCCATTTTTCTTGTTTTTTTTTGTTTTGCTTTTTTTTTGTCTCTTTCTGCAGGTCTAGAAGCAGACTCTTGTTAATTAATGTTTATTTTTGTGGAACCCCACCCCCACCCCCCTCTCTCCCCACCTTTTGTCCTTTCCTTTCTCTTTCACCTCTTACTCCGTGTCTGGTCGGAATTACAAAGCATTCAAAAACAATAACAATAAAGTTTTAAGTATCAGGCGTGACATTAAAAGCAGACGCTTTGATGCTCCACCTGAGAGTAAATCTGTAAGGCTTGTCACCAGCATTCAGACATCAATTCTGTTTGCTTCACAGCCAGACAGGACACGGTAAAATAAATAAATAAATAAATAAATAAATAAATAAATAAATAAAGAATTTGTTAATTCTAAAAAGGATATTAATGATGTTTTACTGCAACCATAACATTATCAGATTAAATGCTTTCTAGTCCAGTCCATTTAGGCTTTTTTCTACCCTACAAAGAGAAAAATAGTGTCACACAATTCTTAACAAATACATTTTTTATTATTGCATAATTTAAATAAAATTTTTTACTCAGAGCTGCATCACCTTAGTCTGACCCCTAGATGTCACAGTTGTATACAAGATTGATGCATGCACGCTCTTGCAAGCACACACACACACACACACACACAGAGAGTTCTAAAGGGCTTTCAGAATGAACAGGTGCAGTCAATGATGCTGCTGTTCACAGTTAGCCTGGCAAGCCAGACTAAATAAATGTATTATTTAATGTGTTTGAAACCCCTCTAGAGAGTTGTGATTGGCCAGCCAGAGTTCTGGTAGGAGCTGTGAGGTTCCAATGGAGCGTGCCTAGACCAAACTTTGCAAAGCAAGAATTTGGTCTAGTTCACTAGGCTAGTTCACAGTAGCATAAATATTCAATTCAATTCAATTCAATTCAATTTTATTTATATAGCGCAAAATCACGACAAGAGTCGTCTCAAGGCACTTCACGTAATAAATATTCCAGTACAGGTCAGTTCATTAAGCCAATCAGAAATAATGTTTCCTATATAAGGAACCCAGCAAATTGCATCAAGTCACTGACTAGTGTCAGTGACTTTACAGCAATCCTCATACTAAGCAAGCACATAGCGACAATGGAGAGGAAAACATATCCAATCCAAAAATCCAAAAACTTAAGTGATTCCATTTTTGTGTTCATGCATTTGTAATTTGTTGCATGAAAAAAGTGTATTTTTGTAATCTTTTCTTTCCTGTTTCTTTTTTTTTTTTTTGGCCTTTTCTTTGTCGTTCATGCTGATCAGATCACACACCGAGACAACACAACCTCAGGTGAAGCTCTCAATGTGATGGCTGTGCAGCACCATTGAACAGATGGATCCGACTGTGTCATTTAACAGTTCAGCAAGGCTTGGTGACCTCTTTATAAGCTGAAAAGCTATTCTGGTTCAGAGCAGGATTTTACAAAAACCTTAAAACAAAAAGAGATGGTAAAATTATAAACAGTTTTCATCAAGACGAGTGATAACAAAAACTCTTCAATGTAAGGTCATAAATTAACAAAACACATTTTATTTTGATCCTTATTCAAACACTAGTACTATCACAGCGCTGAGTCACACTCCATTCAGAGCTTCAACCTTGACGAGACCTGTTTTATATTCAGTCTTTGACACAGATGGTAAAACACTGAGTAACAGGTGAGCGGCACTGAGCTCTCAGCTCACAGAGAACTGTTTGCTCTGCAGCAGCTGCATCTCGGCTGCTCTTCCTACAATAAAACACACAAGTAGAAGTGTTTGCAATAACCAGATCCCTCATCTTTACAGTAGAAAACTAAAATGTCAATATTTGCAGTGGTGCCACTCAGATACGAAGCTAAAAGCTCAGGGGTCTCATTTCTAAAACATTGCATGGAATCCTTACTAAAACTGTACTCAAGCTCAGCAAAAAAAAATTAAACATGGAGTACGCACAGCGATCTCCACTTTATGAATCCCAAACTACCTAAAAAAGTTCTCAGCTATTTCTGAATCACATCCCGCCCTCAACACGCCCACTTTCTGCCATAAATGGCCAATGCAAAGTGCCTGGTGGATCTCATGCATATACATAAGCCGGCTCGTTGCAGCATTTCACCATTAATGACGTCAACCTCAGATCAAGGAAGCACTATTTCAACGAAGCAGGAGTTGAGGTACCTGTGGGTGAGGTGGAAAAATGAAAGGAATTGCTTTTGCAAAACAAAGAAAAAAAATCCACAGAGTGGCACAGCGTTGCTGAAGCCGTCAATGCTGTGAGTTCTTCAGGGAGATCTGTGGCGGATACAGAAAAAAAGGGCCCAACTGGGAATTGATCCTCAGATTCCCAGGTGAGAGTCACATGCACTAACCAGTCAGCTAACCAGACATCTCCCTTGGCCAGGTAGCCAGGGTGCATGATCAATAGGGGGTCACAGTGACAGGATGCTCATACTTTCGCATAACATAACACAGATGCACAGACATGTCATTCTGTCTCAATCTGCCCCCCCCCCCCCCCCCCCGGCTGATATTCAACATTCCGTATTCTGCCTCAGGCTGTGTGTGTGTGTGTGTGTGTGTGTGTGGGGGGGGGGGGGGGGGGGGGGGGGGGAGAGACTTGTGTTCTGTGTGTGCATGAAGCGGTACAAGTAATGCTGCTGGAATTCATAATTGTATCCTTCTCAGCAGCAGCACTGCAGGTGCTCTCCATGTCCAAAATGTGCGTAAGCCAGGTCCTCAGTCAATTTAAAGTTGTGCACATTTTTCCACTAAGTTTTCTTTTATAAATCCCAAAGTTTGCCTGAAAAGTTGCTTACGCAGTTTTCCGACCCTGTTTTGTGCGTAAGCAAGCTTTATGAACCCAGGTGAGTTAGAAAGGAAACCATTAGTCTGAGAAAAAAGGCTTTCAGCTTCACGCCATTACGTCCCATTTAGAGGCTCTAAACCATTTGGAAAACAGTAGATGTGAGCAGAAGCACCCATCAAAAATTCTCGCCCGATGTGAACAGAGGAGCAGCGGGAAGCGCGCCAATTACGTGAGCCATCCGCTTTGCAGCTGATGAGAACCAGGCGCTACAGCTGGGCTTTGTCATAACAAAAGCCCCAAGTCTAAAATGGCACCTGTGATTCTTCTATGTTACTAATTATTTTCAATAGCAGTCAGTCTGATTGTTTAGGTCATCAAGCAGAATCACTACTGAGTGAAGCTAAAGCAAAGGGAGTACAGCCGGGTCAGTGATTCTCTACACTTTATATTTTCAAATATGTTTAAATAAAGAAATGAACGTGTTTATTTGATGCAACTTTTATTTTAACAACCTGTTCCTACAACATATTATAAATGTGAACATTCATGCATTAGCCTTTTTACCATTAGATTTTACACACACACACACACACACACACACACACACACACACACACACACACACACACACACACACACACACACCAAAAAAAAGCCAAATTTTCTGCTTTAAATGACCAACATGTCAACAACACGACCACAAATCACAGCACAGAAACTTGCATCATCACTACTGGCCCACGTCAGGCTCTTTCATCTGAAAGGAGCGGTTATGTTGTTTATTTCAACATGCATGTAGACCTGTCACAAACGTAAAGGAACACCTTATATTTACCTAAAATGTGCGGAGTTCACGCTAATCTGGATGAAAACATTCTTGAATTTCTGATTACACAACACACAGTATTGATACCACAATCGCAACAGAAACTAATGTTTTATCTTGACACCAAGACACAGAGCTAGCTCATTTTTCTGGATCTTGCCGTCCTTGTTGACATCACAGTGACGCAGTAGAACGGCACGCAGCTTGTCCAGGTCAGGACCGGTTATGTTGGGCTGGAGATGCAGGAGGAGAAAGAGACAGCCAGTCAGCTTATATGTCAGACAGACATGAGTGTTTAGCCCTCCATTAAGCTGCAATAACAGTGACTTTTAACAATGACTCAGTTATCAACAACAACCAAGTTCACAGTAATGTTTCCTTGTGTGTAATACTGCGTTGCAGCAACAAGTGATGCAAATCCTGTTGCAACAAAAGATCCTAAATAAATAGTGTGGAGGTTCCTCCAGCCATTTCTCAGTGTTAGTATTATTTAAATATCTTTTTCTATATGCTGATTTATTTCATTTTGGCAATATTGTAAGATGTTTACTAATGGGTGCACACATTTAGTAATTTATCTTACACATAGTTTTTTTGATCATTAACTATTTTCATTTGTATTCTGAGATTGGATGAACTGGCAGAGAGAGGGGACACGCCCAGTGTAACTCCATGCAGGAAGTGAAACATTCCATCTGGCTCCTGGAAGCAGGGAGCGTGATAATGAAGAAACCAGAAACCAGACGTTCTGAAGCTCTATTGAGTTTACCAGATTTTGTTAGGATGTATTAAACTTTTTTTGTGGTAGTTATATTTTGTTGACTTAGTTTCCTAGGTTTATTTACTATTTGTCTTAGTGTTTCCCTTGTCTCTCCCCTCCTCGTTGTCTGTAGGCTAGCCTGTGTGTATAAATTCCCCTGTGTGTCTCAGTTTTGGAGAGTCTTGCTTGTTACTTTTAGTTAAGGTTATTTTTGTGGCCATTTTTTCCTTTGGGCCCGTTTTTGTTTGATTTTGTTTAATTCTTTATAAAATAAATGGAGAAGATATTCTTTTTAAACCATTGTCCTGGAGTTTTACTGCTCGGTCCCTGACATAGTAATGACTTTTTGACTGTGGTTCTGTGGAATGTTATTTATATTTAATTATCTAGCCTGCTTAGTTAAAACACATATCTAAAATGTTATAGTAAGCTAGCTCCACAGCTAATTTATGGTTCAAATAACCACAAAGGTTCATATAAATAACCAAGGCATGTAAAATACACAATGGTGCAAAAAACACAAAACTATGTTTGCACTGATTCCTGTAAATATTTCATGTCATTTTCACAAAATCAGAATAATCCCTTTTGAGTAGTAAGTATATATTTGTGATTTGCTTGTTTTAAAAATTCCCTTTTCTTCCAAACAGGAACAAACCAGTCACAATCAATGCAGGTAAATCACAGATGACTCATGACATTGTCATAAAATAATCAAATACCAATAAAGCAACTGCAGGTGGGTGTTGCACTTCGTTAACAGTCTCAAAAGTTTGTCTGGCAACAAGTCACTTGTTGCTGTAGCTCATGTGGGAATGTAAACATATATCAACTATGTAGGTGTTCATGTGTTCACTAAATCTGCTAAAAGATCAGCATTTAGTGTGAAAACAGCTACACAAACAGAGGTTTAATGAGGAAAGTCCTACCCTGACCAGCCCCATCATATCCTTGACAAAGCCGTCCACCTCTGCACCCTCCAGAGCTCCTGTTTTACTCTGAACAATGAGGAAGAGAGAAGCAGAGCAGAGAATAAAGAAAAAGATGAGTAACACATTTTTAAATGATCTTTTAAGAGCCATCAATTTTTCTTTAACCCTCTCAGGCTCAAAATAAGTTTTGATAAAAGGAAGAACAACTAAGTCCTTCAGGGGTCACTTCTGAGTTAAAAATGCTCATGAAATACGTACAGTGGTGTGAAAAACTATTTGCCCCCTTCCTGATTTCTTATTCTTTTGCATGTTTGTCACACAAAATGTTTCTGATCATCAAACACATTTAACCATTAGCCAAAGATAACACAAGTAAACACAAAATGCAGTTTTGAAATGATGGTTTTCATTATTTAGGGAGAGAACTAAATCCAAACCTACATTGCCCTGTGTGAAAAAGTAATTGCCCCCTGAACCTAATACCTGGTTGGGCCTCCCTTAGCAGCAATAACTGCAATCAAGCATTTGTGCTAACTTGATACAAGTCTTTTACAGCGCTCTGGAGGAATTTTGGCCCACTCATCTTTGCAGAATTGTTGTAATTCAGCTTTATTTGAGGGTTTCCTAGCATGAACTGCCTTTTTAAGGTCATGCCATAGCATCTCGATAGGATTCAGGTCAGAACTTTGACTAGGCCACTCCAAAGTCTTCATTTTGTTGTTCTTCAGCCATTCAGAGGTGGATTTGCTGGTGTGTTTTGGGTCATTGTCCTGCTGCAGCACCCAAGATCGCTTCAGCTTTAGTTGACGAACAGATGGCCGGACATTCTCCTTCAGGATGTTTTGGTAGACAGTAGAATTCATGGTTCCATTTATCACAGCAAGCCTTCCAGTTCCTGAAGCAGCAAAACAACCCCAGACCATCACACTGCCACCACCGTATTTTACTGTTGGTATGATGCTCTTTGTCTGAAATGCGGTGTTACTTCTACGCCAGATGTAACGGGACATTTGCCTTCCAAAAAGTTCAACTTTTGTCTCATCAGTCCACAAGGTATTTTCCCAAAAGTCTTGGCAATCATTGAGATGTTTCTTAGCAAAATTGAGATGAGCCCTAATGTTCTTTTTGCTTAACAGTGGTTTGTGTCTAGGAAATCTGCCATGCAGGCCATTTTTGCCCAGTTTCTTTATTATGGTGGAGTCGTGGACACTGACCTTAATTGAGGCAAGTGAGGCCTGCAGTTCTTTAGAAGTTGTCCTGGGGTCTTTTGTGACCTCTCAGATGAGTTGTCTCTGCGCTCTTGGGGTAATTTTGGTCGGCCGCCCGCTCCTGGGAAGGTTCACCACTGTTCCATGTTGTTGCCATTTGTGGACAATGGCTTTCACTGTGGTTCACTGGAGTCCCAAAGCTTTAGAAATGGCTTTATAACCTTTACAAGACTGATAGATCTCAATTACTTTTGTTCTCATTTGTTCTTGAATTTCTTTGGATCTTGGCATGATGTCTAGCTTTTGAGGTGCTTTTGGTCTACTTCTCTGTGTCAGGCAGCTCATATTTAAGTGATTTCTTGATTGAAACAGGTGTGGCAAAAATCAGACTCGGGGTGGCTAGAGAAATTGAACTCGGGTGTGAAACACCACAGTTGGGTTATTTTTTAACAAGGGGGGCAATTACTTTTTCACACAGGGCAATGTAAGTTTGGATTTTGTTCTCTCCCTAAATAATGAAAACCATCATTTCAAAACTGCATTTTGTGTTTACTTGTGTTATCTTTGACTAATGGTTAAATGTGTTTGATGATCAGAAACATTTTGTGTGACAAACATGCAAAAGAATAAGAAATCAGGAAGGGGGGAAAGAGTTTTTCACACCACGGTATGTGGAGTAGCCAGGTAGGTAGGTTTTAACAGTTAACACCTTCCATCAGTCATCAGAGTTAGCCCCTTTCTGCTGGGGTGATGATGAGCAGGCACCCCCGCCCAACATTGAGCAAAGCAACCCACCACCCCAGACCCCAACCAGACGGCCAGGTCCCATTCCTAGCTAACGGCCCCGGGAAGCCAAATGACAACAGAGGTGTGCTAAGACCCCTAGCCTCCTTCCACCTGCTCCAATACAGTGTTGATGAGGTGTATTCCATAGCTGGGGGGAGCGGGCAGCGCAGGCATCGTCTGGCCTATGCCAGCTGATGCGACCACACAGCCCCACTTCCCACCCACAACCCTCTGTCAGTTTAAAATTGGAAGTGGGCACCGACACAGGGTGAGGCTGAAAGATTCCCCTGCCAAATGCCGTTGATTGTGCTCACTCCCAAGGCCCTAAGTGTGTGTTAGCGTGGAATGTTGTTGGTGGAAGTGTTTAATGTGCAAATAAAATTGGGGGGCAGGTTGCCACAGGAGTACGGTAATGGGATCCATACCCGCACCCCCTGACTTGCCCACCCCCCAAAGTCCTATGTGCATGTTTGTGTGATGATGTGAAGGAGCAGGAGGAGGAAAATGTCTGGGGATGGGGAGGATTGGCTGGTTGGCCTAAGCCCTCCAGGGAGCCAGCTCCCCCACCGGCCCCAATAGGCACATCCGTTCCCAAACTACCACCCAGGGAATGTAGACCCCAGACCATCTAGCCAGGGCCCAAAGTAGCAGTATGGCAGGGCCCTACGGAGCCCGAGGTCACCAATCCATCCCCACCCCAGCAGATTATCTACTCCCATCCCTGCATTTGCACAACTTCCAGAATATGTAAGACATGAGACATCCAGGTAAGGTTGGGTCCTCCCCCTTCTGGACATCCCCCTCCCCCGTAATGGGCCAGAATTATTATTTTAGAGGAGCCAAGGTCCACCTGAGGCACCTGAGCCTGGGCCAGCCACAGACGCATGTTCTTCCCTTGTTTCCTGCAGCATACAAGTCAGGAGCCAATCCCCGAGGCCCTGCCCAGATCCACCCAGGGGCGATGTAGCCACCAGGCAGCCACCCATGGCCACCGCCAAGACCCCCCAAGGGGCCCTGCTCACAACCGCCAGAAGTTCACTCCCAGAGGCAATCCAAGGTTTTATGAAATAATTGTGTTTCTCAAATTTGTAGTTAAGTGTTTTGGATACATAATGTTTTTTAATAAAAAGAATAAAAGAGCAATGCAATGCATCGCCACAGGCAAAACTCCCAGTTACCACAAGGACCAATTTGGTGTGTCACCCCAAAATTTTCTTTAGCCCCATCTGGTTACCCTTATTAACATTTTCTTTGGGCGCCCCTGCCTGTGTGTCTCTGTGTTGCCCTGCGATGGGACTGGCTACCTGTCCAGGGTTTATCCCGCATTTTTGTCCAGAGACTGCTGGAGATGGACACCAGCCCCCTGCAACCCTGCGTGGATAAGCGGGTAGAAAATGGATGGATGGGTATTATAGAATTAAAATGAGCTAATTGGATTCATGGCTTCTGTACCAATTTTCTATTCACACCGGCTATTTAGCTAATGCAGAAATGTTTTACTCCTACTAATTTACTTTCTTAACCATTTTTTGCATTTATTTTTTAGCCATTAATCCCCAAACAGGACATAAAGATGCAAAATATGAAATTATAGAACAGCAGACCTGCCAACCTGTACGCATTTTGCGTAGCCAGTATGCAATTTGCCATCTATTTACGCTGGTACGTCTCACCCCTCTAAACTACGCAAAAAGCTGCGGATACGTGAGTTGAGTTCTGTGGCAAATATGCATGTATGGTACGACTCAGCGGCGTGGTGAAGAAGTTTGAGCCAATCATTGTAGAAAGGCAGAGAAATTTGGTTTTGGAGATTATTTGGATTGGTTAGCAGACCTGCCAAGAAGAAGAGGGTCCATGTGTCTCAGAAGTCTTTGTCCAAATATCAAGAACAGTGGCCATGCTTGTGACCCTCTAAAAAACCTCACCATGCATTTTGCACAATCTGCAATTATGATATGGACATAAGCCACCAGGGAGCTGCAGGTAATTAGTAAATTAGCCCGGATGATGTATGTGCTTTAAGCCAATTTAATGTTACATTCTTGAGGAAACACCTATTGCAATATACGAAATAAATAATTCCCATTAAATACATGTACATGTTTTTTTATTAATGTGTACTGAAATAATTTAATCCAAGTAACTCGTATAAGCACAAATATTACGTAAGGAAACTTCAGAGTTTTACTGTTTAATATTAAAATGCATGATACTTTGGAGTCAGGTCAAACTGTAAAAATGTCTATAACCTTACTAGTTAAAATAAGAACTATGAACAAGTGTGTGTGTGTGTGTGTGTGTGTGTGTGTGTGTGTGTTCTGACAAGGTTGGCAGGTCTGGAACAGGAACATGGAGATAGAATTTACAGCAGACCACTTGTGTCAAAGGTTTCCTTTGAATTTTTTATAATTTTGTGGACCTGTTATTTAAAGTCTATAATTAAGTCACCAATCAAATACAGTAATAAACTTACAACATCATAATGATCAAAGATCTTCTCAAAGTCTCTTTTTCTGTCTTCTTTGCTGCAAGCCTTGAAAAAAAAGGGAACATGATAAAATTATAAAAAGAACAGTTTTGATCCTTGATCCAATCTGCAGTAAACATATTATGCTTACATCCATCTGGAACTGGAGCAGGAAATTCTCCTCCAGAGCTAAGATCCTTTAAGAAAAACACACTTTAAAAGGAGGATTTAAAGCAAACGACAACATAGAATGTCAGCTAAACAATCCTAAATAAAAATCCCTGCCTTGTACACAGATTTTCAATGCAACACTATACCTGGCTAAATCGTTTAAATCCAAGCGGCCGTCCTTGTTTTTGTCAAATATTTTCATCTGCATGAAAACAGAAAAGCAGTTACTGACCTCAATAGTCATTTCTAGAAAAAAAGATCGGTGTCTTAACAAGACACACGCCCACACACAGAAAACAACTACATGCTGCATTTCCCAGTTAGTTTGCTCTTGCATCAGTATTCAATTATCATCGTTGGGAGTCCAGTTACAGCCAGTTATCATTGAAGCTACATTCCTCCTATTCCTAATGAGTCTTCTGAGTGTTTTTAGCTCATTTCCACCAGTAGCCAGAGCTGAATTAACCCTTCAGATGTCTAAACGTCAGCAGCAGAATGTGCTAAATAATTCAACCCCATGTAGACCTAAACCCACCCCGCATCATCATGTCCTAACTGATGACATTATTAAAACACATCTGTGTGTTTTCTGTTCCTACCATGGTGTCGGTGTACTCCACCAGCTTATCAGAGGCCACCTCCCTCTTTTGCTGCTGGAACAAATCCTTCAGAAAGGCCTGAGAAGGAAACAAACAGCACAGCGTAAGGATGAAATATTCATTATTCACAATGAAATTAGTTTATCTGCAGGGTGTCTGGGCACTCCTTTAGAAATAGGGCTAGAAGCTAGGTCATCCGAGAGGGGCTTGGAGTAGATCTGCTGCTCCTCCACATCGAGAAGAGCCAGAAGACTCAGGCATCTGGTTAAATGACAAATGACCCGTACCTGTATAGCGCCTTTACACTACAGTGTATCCTTCATCCATTCACACACACATTCACACACTAATGGTGATGAGCTACAATGTAGCCACAGCTGATCTGGGGCACACTGACAGAGGCGAAGCCTGATTTCTATTTATCCGTGAGCTCCGCAAAAGAGAGACACACGGAGAGTCAGAACTGTGTTTACACGCTTCCGGTCAAGGTCCTTGAAGCTCGTCCGCTTCAAGGACGCTTCAGGTCGGTAACAAGATGGCTCCTGTGTTTGGCTTAGCCGCAGTCACCGGCCACTTTTTCAAACTTTTCTCCACTAACCTCATGTTTTCCACCTTGCTCCTGTCTGCGATCCTCTTCAGTAGTGTCCCTGCTACCATCTCCTATGATCGCCAGACTCTTTTGTCCTTCCGTTCGTTCACGATCGCCCAAGATGCACCAAGGACATACCTCCATGTTTGTTTATCTGAGCAGCTCACTGGCCCGGAGCCGAACGACGATCACAAGCTACGCACCTCCAGCTATGTTTGTCCGGTCCCGGGAAAACGTTGGAGGAAAAGAGGTAAACGAGCAGGAATTCAGGTGAGAATAAGACTTCTCTTAAAGTGTGGTTTATCTGGTAAACATCGGCGCAATCTTCTAGCTTCTTGTCCTTTGTTTGGTGACCTGAGCACCACTTCCGCTTTCCCACCAGGCCGCGTTGTGACGCGGTTCATCCGTCCAGGTTTTTTAAGGTCGGTTTATCCTCATTCCTCAGTGGTTTCTCCTCCTGTTCCCTCCATACGTGATTATTATAAACACCGTGGATCTAACCCTGCTAATTTACATCCACTAACTCCAGCTGTTTCTGTAGTTTCTGATTCCTCCACCTCACTCAGCATGGCTCTATTGAACACCTGCTCTGTTAACATTAAGTCCTTCCTGCTCAATGATCTAATTCTCTTTAAAAACCTGGATTTTCTGTTTCTGACTGAAGTTTGGCAGCAAACATCTGATTATTCTGGTCTGATTGAACTCTGCCCGAGTGGTAATTCTTTTCTTAGCCAGCCCCGAGGTTCTGGTCGTGGTGGAGGCCTAGCTGTTGTTTTCAGAGACCATCTTCCATGTTGCTCTACAACCTCTGGTCACTTTGCTTCCTTTGAATTGCAGCTGATTAAAGTCGGGTGTAAGGGCCCGTTCTACTGTGCTGTGGTCTATCGTCCACCTGGTCCAAACAGTTCTTTCCTTCAGGAGTTTAGTGACTTTCTATCCTCCACTGTGAAGCTGTCCAGACTGGTGATTGTTGGTGACTTTAGCATCCACGTTGATGATCCCTCCGATCACTTTGCCATGAATTTCTCCAGCCTTATGGACTCCTTCGGCTTTACCCAGCATGTTTCTGGCCCCACACACACCAGGGGGCACACTCTGGACCTTGTTTTTACGCTGAGTCTGAATGCTGATATAGTTTGTCCTGAGGACGTTTATATTTCAGATCACCATTGCATTTTCTTTAACTAGTCAGTTTCTGCGTCCCCACCTCCTGCTCGCCGTATGGTTAGTTCTCGTTTTCTTAATGAGAGCACAGCTGGCAATTTTTCTGCTGCTTTTGATCCACCCTGTTCTTCTGATAACGACCCAGATTCCTTAACTTCTCAGTTTAACGAGCACTGCCTCTCCATTCTGGACAACATCTGTCCTGTCAGAACCAGATGAGTTCCTGCAGTGAACCCTACTCCCTGGTTTAATGACAGCCTTCATAGCCTGAAGTGCCAATGCAGAAAAATTGAGCGTTTGTGGAAGAAAACCCATCTCCACGTCCATCTGCTGCACCTAAAGGATCTTCTGTCATCCTTTAATTCTGCAGTCAGAGACGCTAGGGTTTCCTATTTCTCCAACCTGGTGTCCCAGGTCTCTCCTGCCTCTCCTACAGCCTCCATCCACTCTGTTACACACTGTGAGAACTTTCTTTCTTTGTGGACAAAGTCAAAAATGTTAGATCTAGCATCTCTCCTTCAGCCTTATCACCGCCTCTCCCAACTCCACCCAGGCCCATCATCCTAGATAGCTTTTCTCCTGTTTCTTTGCCTGAGTTAACCAAACTAGTTAACTCTATGAAGATCTCTGCATGCCCCCTCCACATCTTACCCTCATCTTTGTTTAAAAGTGCTTTTCTGTCCATAGGTCCCAGCGTGCTCTCTATAATTAATGCTTCTCTCGTTTCTGGTCAGGTCCCTGCTTACTTTAAGAATGCTGTAATCCACCCGCTTCTTAAAAAGCTGAGTCTTGACCCCTCTCTCCATAGCAGCTTCAGACCCATTTCTAAACTTCCGTTCATCTCCAAGATCTTAGAAAAGGTTGTGGCTAAACAACTCACAGCTGCTCTTGATGAACATAACATCTATGATAGCTTCCAGTCAGGTTTTCGTAGAGCTCATTCTACTGAAACAGCTCTCCTTAGGGTCTCTAATGACCTTCTGACTCACAGTGATGCAGGGGACTGTTCTGTTCTGGTCCTGCTGGACCTGACTGCAGCCTTTGACACTGTTGACCATCACCTGCTACTGGAGAGGCTGAGAGACTGGGTAGGCCTATCAGGATCTGCTCTGGAGTGGTTCTCTTATCTCTCTGAGCACTCCTTTTCTGTGGCCGTCTCCAAATTTAGGTCCTCCACCACCTCCCTTACCCATGGTGTCCCACAAGGTTCTGTGCTGGGGTCTCTGCTCTTCCTCCTCTATCTGCTTCCTCTTCAGCACATCCTGAGCTCCTTCAAAGGAATCTCCTACCATCTTTATGCAGATGACATCCAACTGTACATCTCCTTTAAGCCCCATGAGATGTCTAAGCTGCAGCTGTTACACACCTGCTTAGACTCTATCAAAGCCTGGATGGCTGGGAGCTTTCTTCAGCTGAATGAAGATAAGACTGAGATACTCATCTGTGCCCCAGACAAGCTGGTTCCCAAAGTCAGAGACTCTCTTGGTCAGCTTGCTTCTCACACCAAACCTTCTGTCAGGAATCTTGGCGTGACCTTTGACCCAGCTCTCACCCTGGATTCTCATGTCAGTTCTCTTGTTCACGCTTCCTTCTTCCATCTCAGGAACATTGCTAAGCTGAGTCCCATTCTGTCCCGCTCTGAACTTGAGACAGTTCTCCACACCTTCATCTCCTCACGCTTAGACTACTGTAACTCTCTTTTCACGTGTCTGAGCAGAACCTCCCTGAACCGTCTACAGGTGGTTCAGAATGCCTGTGCTCGGCTTCTGACCAAGTCCTCCAAACACACCCACATCACCCCGCTTCTCCTCCAGCTTCACTGGCTGCCAGTCAACTTCAGGGTTCATTTCAATATCCTGGTTCTGGTCTATAGGGCCTTACATGGACAAACACCATCTTACATTGGTGATCTTCTTAGCCCCTACACCCCCAGCAGGTCCCTGAGGTCCAGTGACCAAAGCCTACTGGTTGTGCAGCACCAGGCTAAAGACCAAAGGTGACAGATCATTTGCTGCTGTGGCCCCCAGACTCTTGAACTCCCTCCCCCCTGAGCCTGAGATCAGTGGACTCAGTGGTCTCCTTTAAAAAGCAGCTGAAGACTCACTTGTTCAAGCTGGCTTTTGTATGACCTTCTTCACCACTCTCTCTTTATTCTGCTCTCCCCACCTATTCCACCTTCCTCAGGATCCACTGATTTCCCTCTTTCCTATTCACTCTCTCTCTTTCTTAACATTTTTTCTTTGAAATCCCAATTGCCTATTTTTGCTCATTTTAAATATATTTTTTAACATTTTCTAAATGCTTCTTTATATTTTTACTTTTTGTTTTTGTGAAGCGTCTCGTGATTTTTATCTTGAGAGGCGCTATAGAAATGATATTTTCTTCTTCTTCTTCTACACGCGAACTTCAGGCAGCAATTTGTTGCAAAGCAATTCCCCTCCAGGACAACAGAGGGTGTAGCGCTGTTCTGTGGTATCCTGCCACCATAACACTCATGCACCCGGTCCTTAATAGTGTATTTACTAATGTGTTTACATATTTCAGAGACTTTATAACATGGACTAATTTGTGCTTCACTCTCCTCCGCCTCTTCATGCACACCTCTAAACCCATGTTTCCCATAATTTCTGTCCACGTTTGCTCTGTACACCTTTGAACATTCATATTTTCAGACTTTTTCCATGATGCGTTCTTCAATCTGATCTGGGTTTGCCACTAAATATCTTTTTACTTTTTAACGGAGCTAAAGCAGTGCTGGTGACAAATTTGCAGGAAGCGGCATCCTGACCAATCACAAGCTTGTTGTCTCGGTCACTTTCGACACGTTCAAAATTTTGGGCACGTCGCCGTCACCCTCTGTGAGCCTGTCGGAGAGCCCTTGCGCCGACGCATAATGGTGTTGCGTGTCTCCGCACCGACGCAGACGGAGAAAGATGCTTCCTGGAGAAGGTGCTATTAATAAAATGAAACTTAATAAGAGTCCAGGGAATGACGGTTTGACTTCTGAATTTTACAAATTATTTTCAAAGGATTTATCATGCTTTTTACATAAAGTAAATACTTAAAACATTGATAATGAAAAGCTCCCTCCTTCTTTGACTCAGGGGCTAATTACTTTGATTCCGAAACCTCAAAAAGACACCCTTTTGATTGGAAATTGGAGACGTATTTCACTGCTGAATAACGATTATAAAATAATTGCTATGTGTTTGGCTAAAAAGTTAAAATGTGCACTTAATGATATCATTGATGAAACACAGTCTGGTTTTATGACTGGCAAACACACAACTAACAATATAAGACTGTAATTGATATTTTGGATTATTCAGATTTAATCACAGATAATAGTTTCATTCTTTTTTTGGATTTTTATAAAGCTTTCAACTCCATTGAACATGAATTCATGTTCAGAGCACTTGACATTTTGAGTTTTGGAAATGTCTTTAAACAATCAATTCAAACTCTACATGCAGATGCAAATAGCTCAGTCAAACTCCCATTTGGTACAACAAAAAGATTAGACATCAACCGTGGGATCCGGCAAGGTAGTCCAATTTCTGCATATCTCTTCCTTCTTCCTATGCAGTTCCTTTCTATTCACTTTAAAAACAGCAGTGTAGCGGGTCTCTCTGTTGCTGGCAGAGTACTATCTATTACTCAACTAGCGGATGACACAACACTTTTTTTAAAAGATAAATATCAAGATGATGAAGCTCTGAAAGTTGTCAATAATTTCTCAATAGCCTCTGGTCTTAAACTTAAACTTCTCCCTGTTACATTCTGCACAGATGCTATTATATCAGGTGTTCCTGTTAAAAATAAGGTTAAATATCTTGGTATTATCATTCAAAAAGACCAAGATGCCAGATTATCTGAAAATTTTGACCCTCTTATAGCTGCAATACAACATAAATTGATTCTTTGGCTTCAAAGAGATTTATACATCACTGGAAAATCATTGGTAGCCAAAGTTGAAGGCCTCTCCCGACTTATTTATGCAGCTATGGCACTTGATATTTCGAAAGAACTATGCACAAAATTGATAAAATATTATTTAACTTAATTTGGAAAAAGAGAATACATTAAATTTAAAAAAATTTAATGATCAGCAAGTTGTGTTCTGGTGGCCTAAATTCTTTAGATTTCACCTCCTTAAATGCTTCTTTTAAAATCAAACGGATCAAAATCTTTTGAAAAAATCCCAGTTCAATTTGGAACGTTGTTACCAACCATATCTTTAACTCACTTGGAGGATTGCACTTTCTGCTAAGATGCAATTACAATATCTCTAAATTACCGCTTAAACTCTCCAACTTTCATAGTCAACTCTTATCATCTTGGTTAATGATATACTCTCACAACTTTTCTCCCCATAAATATCTCATTTAGAACAACCAGGATATTAAATTTAAGAACAAATCATTATGTATTCAGAAATGGGTTGATAGAAATATTTTAATTGTGAGTCAATTACTGAATGATAATGGTCAATTATTTTCTTGTAGGGAATTTTTGTTTGTTTATAATTTTCCTGTCACTCCAAGAGAATACGCTGTAGTTTTTGATGCAATACCAGATGGAGTGAGAAGGTTATTGGTGTCTGCTCCTAAGGGTAGATATTCTATTATTCCAGAACTAAATCTCGGTAGCATATACATCGGTATCATCTGTCCTTTATTTAGTGATAAAGCCACAAATCAATGTATTAGACAAATCATTCAAAGAGATATTGTTTCCAGACCTGCAGCTGTATTTTACTGGAACAATATTTACAATGATATAGACTGGCAAAACACTTGGATTCTATCAAGGAAATTTATTATTACTAATAAGACAAGAAAGGTTACTTTTAAGTTGATCCATAGATGTTATCCGGTAAAGACATATCTGGTTAAACTTAAGGAAAATATTGATACTCTTTGTACTTTTTGCAGCAATGCAGAGGAAACAATACATCATTTATTTAGGGAATGCACTTATACACATGCATTTTGGATTTATCTAAATAATTTTATAAACACCAAAATTGATCCCTCATGTAAACTGAAGTTTCAACACATTCTATTTGGCCTCTCACATACCGATAATAATTCCAGGAAAAAATATATCATTAATCTTCTGATCATTTTTGCCAAATTTCACAAACATTGTACAAAATTCTCTCAACAGCGTCCAAACATTTGCTTTCAAAGCCCTGTTTTCCAGTTATCTGGAGAATCTTAATAACAGAACTAACTCCAAAGCGTGTAAAACACAAGAGCTGTGCCAAATGTATAGTTCCACTTGATTTACATGCTGAGCTTTTTTCCCCCAGTTATTTTGTTTATCTGTTTTCTCATTTTTGTTTAAGTACTTGTAGTTGTATACATAACTTGTTCAACTTGTTACTACAAGCTGTGGAATTTTTATACCCTTTCTATTTTCTGCAATACCATGTATGTATGTTATTCAAATGTCTAAATTAAAAAAATTAATAAATAAAAACACAAAAGGAAAAAAAGAGGGGGGGGGGGGGGGGGATAAAAAGATGCTTCCTGGATGCGTCATTTGGAATCCTAGGCTGTCCAAGGAAGGTTCCGCCTTTCTCGCCTCTGATTGGCTGGAAGGGCTTTCCTACGATTGGCTGTTTCATGTGAGAAACCGTTTTCCCTTGCTGTAGGTTTTTATGTTTATAGCCAGACCTTGAGGAGTTTGTTGAAGAAAATGTGAACTCATCGCTATAATAAACATTGTTTCCTGTTTTGCAACAAACCAATTTCAGTTTCTTTCATAACAGAACCAGAAAAATGTCAAGTGTGAAATTGTAATAAATCAGGTTGCATTTTATCTCACTGTAGACTGACTTTTTATCTGTTGGCTCTATTGGGGTTATCTTGTTATTAGGCTATCCTTTGTCTTCACTTTAACATTTTAGGGCTGTTTAAATGTTAGAGCAGATCTTTCATCATCAGATTAAATGTGTATCAATGAATCAAAAATTAAGTTAAAACTGATTATGATTTAGACATATTTTTCACCAGTTTTCTATGTTGTAGAACATAAACAGACCTGATGCACACAGCTGGGCTGAATGGGGCAGTTTTATTAAATGTCATACCCAAGGCACATACTGTATGATTATCCTATGTACTCTAACGCTTGAGAGCCAAGAGATATAAAGGAAATCCAACTGTTTGATAAATGCAACAAGATTATAAATTCAGATTGACTGTTTTTCAGTTTTTTATGGAACATTAAACATAAAATGTTTTGCCAAACAGGACAGAGTGGTTATTATAGCGCCACTTACTGTACTGCACTGTACTCTCACCATTGCTTTTCACCCTGTACACCTCAGACTTCCAGTAAAAATCAGAGACCTGTCATCTACAGAAATACTCAGATGACTCTGCAGTTGTCGGGTGTATCAGAGATGGACAGGAAGCTGAGTACAGAGAGCTGGTGGAGCGCTTTGTGGCATCTGACCTTGAATGTGAACAAAACAAAGGAGATGATTTTAGACTCCAGAAGAAACAGGGTGGAGTCAAACAGTGTTTCCATCATGTGAGAAGAAGTGGAGGTGGTTGAGGAATACAAATACCTTGGAGTTCACCTAGACAACCGACTGGACTGGAGAAAGAACAGTGAAGTCATTTACAAGAAGGGACACAGCAGACTGCACTTCTTGAGGATGCTTAGGTCCTTCAATGTCTGTAGCAAGATGCTGCAGATCTTCTACAAGTCTGTTGTTGAGAGTGTAATCTCTTCAGCCATCGTCTGTTGGGGTAGCGGCATCAGAAGCAGGGACCTGAAAAGGCTCAACAGCCTAATAAAAAGGCTGGTTCTGTTCTGGGGACGACTGTGGAACCACTGGAGGAGATAATGCAAAGAAGGATTCTCCAGAGAATCAAGAAAATGATGGACAACCCTGAGCATTCTCTTCACAAGACTGTCCGACAACGGAAGAGTGTCTTCAGTCAGAGGCTTCTTCAGTTTGGCTGCAACACTGACCGCTACTGGAGATCCTTCCTGCCAACAGCAATTGTAATATACAATAACTCTTTGATGACTTGATTATTATTATTATTCTGAGCTACTACAGCAATCAATTTCTGTCTGGGATTAATAAAGTATTTTTGAATTGAATTGAATTAACAAAACTCCCCAAAACAGCTTTCTGCTGGTGGCAGAACAGTCTGCGCTTAGCGAGGACAGCCGGTTTGCTGCTAAATAAATAGCCAGTCGTAGTAGAGCCTTTCTAGCCAATCAGAGGCGAGAAAGGCGGGATCTTTATTGGACATCCGAGAATCCCAAATGACGCTTCCTGGACATCTCCTTGGTGAGGTTTTCCAAGGTGAACGGATGGATGGACAATGAAAATTTAAGTTTGCTGAGAAATGGAAGAAAGGGAGGAGGACTAGCAGGACTTGATGTTGTTTGGGATTTTCTCAGGTTAATGGGCTCCAGCATTATGTCTTCAATCATATTTGTCTTCTTGTTCTGCCACCCTTCAGCCCATGGAGGCAGAGGATTCAGCTCAACGCTTCTTTAAAAGGCTTCGTTATTTCCTGACTCCACGATGAATAAATAAAGTTGTTAGTGGTGAAAAACTCACCCTCAGCTCCTGAGCTGATATGTATCCACTACAGTCGGCATCATACTTCCTCCAGATCTACAAAACAGATCAATAAATGTTCAGTGTGGATGGAGACAGCTGAGTGTAGCTCTGGATAATCAGGATAAATAGTGCAGCTTTGGGTCGTCTTTCAGAGCAGCTTTGATAATGGACACCACGGTGAAAAATGATACAAATTCATGTCAACTAAATGTGTCCAAATTTAACAGCAGCTCAGTTTAGTGGTCTTTTGTCATCAACCTGCTTGGATGTTCTTACCTTCATGAAATCCACGCTGTTGTCCAGAGGAGCTTCTCTGCGGAAAACTAACAGGAAGTTTTCATCTTCTGGGAGGATCATATTGGCCAGCTGGATGAACAGGCGGGAAGCAGAAATCGGATAAGAGGCTCATTGTTTTCAGTTATCAACAACATTTAAAACAGAGACAGAGAACTTAAGGTTTTTAAAACTACTTTGGTAACAAAATGAACGTATCCTAAAGAGGTTAGAAGATTCATTTTGAACTAGGGATGTCTGAAACTATCAGCCTACCATTATTATCAGCTAATATATGATCAGAAATCTTTGAAATTGTTTTTTATTCTTTAACTGACTCAACCTTTACATACCATGAACATATTCATGAAACTCTTCAGCTACTTCTTCTCTCACTCATAGTATTAAAATATGACAGATCAGAGGTTTACTTTTCATTGTCTGGCACAACTGACCTAACTTAAACTGAAGTCAAATTTTTCACAGATAGTGTTTAAAGTTTTTGCACAACAGGATATGTGATATCAGCCCTACAGGACTTGTGGTGACACTGGTGTCACAGCCCATTTCAAACATCTGCAGAAATTCTTCTTGAGCCATTTATTCAAGTTTACAACCTCAAGTGACATCACATGTGTTTATTCTAATCTGTTTTCTATTTCAAAAGGGTTTGGGTTCTTAAACTATTACATTTTTTGCTTCATTTTTATGAGTGAGGACCCCACTTACGTTGGTATTGTATCAATTTACATCAGTAGCAGAAATTAAGAGTTTGTCCATGTTGGAATATCGGAAATTGGTAAAAAAAAACAATAAAAAAAGACTAAATTGAACATTCCTACCACTAAGCATATGATATCAGTTGATATACGTCTGTTTCTACCGCTCGACTCAAAAAGCTTTGTACTTTTCTCTGAAATATACCATTATCAAAAGTCTGCCCTCTGGTGGAGAATCGAAGCACCACATGGGTCATGGGCCAGTTTCATTATCATATTAATACATACTAATTATGTAAAACACACATTCATGTATCGACAATTTAGACAGAAATTATTGAGTCCCAAAAGGTGTGATGTCACGTATCAGGCTTTAAAAAAATATACTTTTTTTTTCTAATGTTTTCAGGTGGAACCGAAAAAGGTAAAGGCTAAAACAACTTTTGCAAACAAGACAGAAGAGATTAATCATCAGAGCAACACTGTGTGACTTCAGCTCCTCCTGGCTCTGCTCCACTTCATGTTGATCCTGTCTTCTCTGGAGTCTCACAACAATATATCAGCTCTGCATTAGTAGATTAAAACAGTCCCATAATCATTGTAATAAAATGATGCCATCTTTCAGACGACAAAGTCAATGTATGGTTTGTGGTCGGCACGGGCACAATGCAGCAAAGATGCTTCTGGCTGCAGAAAATCCATAAGAGGAACTTTGTTGGATATCAGAAAATGTTTTTAGAAAAACTTCAGCAGGTCATCAGTTCTGCTGAGCAGTCGATTGGCTGCAATGCCCTCACCTTTTTGTCTGTTTTTATGTGTCAAGTCATCGACAGAAATAATCTGCTTGTAAAAATCTTAGTCTGATTTATAAACCCTTCTTTACAAAATCCCTACATGATGTCTGCTCTCTGGTGGAGGATCAAAGTATCAGACGAGGTAAGGTTCAATTTATTAATTAATTTACTGCAAAAGTGCCAAAAGTTTCATGTCTTTAGACTAGTTTTAATAAGAGCTGCACACTATATCGCAAATATATCGTTATCGTGATATCAGCATGTGCAATACGCATATCGCAAAAAACAGATAAATATTGTAATGAATGGTCAGCTCAAATGTTTGCTACACATAATGTATTCTGTCAGTCAGAGGCATGATGTCTTTTTTAACAAATCAAATAGAGCTTTTCACCCATTTGGCCAATTGGATGAGTTCTCATAGGTTAAAGTCCCGCCCCCGAGGCGACGGCACTTAATTTTGATGGTTAGCAAACACCTGTGTTAGCTTAGCTCTGCTCTTTCTGCTGATTCTGCTTTTCCCGGGATCATTGATTTCCTTTTCCTGTTCATTTTCTTTTCACATCTTTTGCTTTTCTTATTTTTATGATTTTTTAATCATTTTTTTAATGTCTTTGTTTTTGATTATTTTTGTTTCTGAGTAAAGTTTTTATTTATCGCAAATAATATCGTCATCGCAATATTAATCAGTGTTATCGCATATCGCAGGTTTTCCTAATATCGTGCAGCCCTAGTTTTAATGTCAGCAGCTATTTTATTTCTGGAAACTTGGACAGGCTGTGAATCACGCAGCTAAACACACAGCCAGATACAGATTTTAATCTTTGAACCTTATCCAGCGATTTAAAATAAGTCAGCAAGGCTCAATTTGTATGTATACTTATACAAATAAAACTTGGAATTTAATGGTAATCACGTTAAACATACACATATTTATTTATTTTGTAGTAGTGTTAACCCTCCGGAGGCAGGCGCTGCAGATTTTCAACAGTTAATACCTACCTGGTTACTCCACCTACATATTTCATGAGCACTTATTAACTCAGAAGTACCCCTGAAGGACTTAGTTGTTCGTCCTTTCATCAAAACTTATTTTGAGCCTGAGAGGGTTAAAAGCGGAATATTTATTGGTTGAAGTGTGTGTTTGTTTTTTTCTTGAGTGAGCACAATTATCAGCAGCAGCAGCAGCACCAGTACTAGAGATGAATGACGGCAGAACAGGAAGTTGTGGTTTTGCTGACTTCCTTTTTGCCATCTTGATTTTGCTATGTCAGCATCTGATAAAAAAAACTGTGCAGAACATTGTCATGTACCGACCCAGTTCACCACAACATATTCAAACGTTAACATTCCTTTGCTGGGCCTTTGGCACTTACGTTACAGCTGCTAGCCACCACTTTGTGCAGCATTAAAGAAACATTTTGACTAGCTTTTATAAATTTTTGTATTCTTATTTTGCTCACAATTTTCACAATTTGTAATTTGGTTTGGAAGTCTTTACCAATAATAATCAGGATGTGCAAATGCATCACCTCTACAGCAACGTGATTCTTTCACCATCTTCATTTACTCTTATTTTTGGGTAAAAATAGTAACAGTGATGTTTTATCTCCACAAATCAGACACGTCTGATCAGGTTCTGCCTTTTTGGGGGTTGCTAATGCTAATGGTTAGCTTCTACTTGTCGAGATGTGCTCTGATCTCTCCTGGCTGTTAAATCAACACAACCTTCTGTGGTCATGGGCACAGATGGAGGAGCTTAGAGAGCTTCTCCTTTGAGCTCTTTTCCATGTTTATTTAAATAAAGGAGTTGAAATGTTGTACAGGGTCTGGTGGAAGCCACACATTGAAACATGTTGGTAAATAAAGTTGTTCTTATTAAATAATCTTCTAGATTGAAGTACTGCAGGAAGGTTGCACCTATACTTGGATTGCTTTCTGTCTCTGTGCGCCATGTGAGTAGATGGAGTTGTACCAGGAACCTTTAACATATTAAACCAATCAATGTGATTGATTTCTACAAACACAACATCCTTGTAATTAAAATATTTTCTCTACTCCATAAATCCTGTCAGATTTGTGCATTGAAGGAACATAAATCTGTAAGAACAGAACAATGTTTGTAGCAGATTTCTAGCATTAATGCTGAGTCATGATATTGAAGAGAAGACGGTCAACAGCTAGGAGCGATGCTCTCCGTTTCTGCTCCAGCTGCAGTAAATCACTGCCTGTAACAGGCCACTTATAGAAGACACTCATTGATTTGTTGCCGGGTTTATGAGAGGAAGCAGATGCTTTGTGGTCCGTGAGAGGGATGCATCAAGGGAGTGGGTTAATGGATGATTAAAAGTTTCTCAGAAGAAAAGATAATTCACTTCATTACTCTGAAGCACGGTGTGTGTCAGTAGATGTACTGATCAGGTACCCTGAGAAAGGACAACTACTGTATGTCAATAAAAACTGTAGAAACAGCTGCAGCGTGTTTTTAGTCAAATAGAGACAGTTTGAGAATCCAGTTTATCTGTTTTCAAAGTTAAAATGAAGAGAACATCCAAAATGATCAGACTCTCGCATTTTGTTGTTGCGTTGTTGCCTTTGAAGCTACGTGTTTGTTTTGTCTGACTTTTGCTTCACTTCTCTGATCCTCAGCTTTTCCAGTGATTAGTTTTCCTTTAGTATAACTCAAGCTCAGACTGTGTTGCTGATGAAGACATGCGATGGATTCAAAATGGGGGTGGAGTGATGTATGATTGGTAAAGAAAGGAACGTAAAATAAAGTGAGACTGGGAACGCACAAGTAAGACAGTCTAAAGACACTGATGGGACAACACTGGTGGTCAAAATATATTTAGGGTTGTTGTTGGAAGACCCAACTAAGGATAATCAGGCTCAGCCAGTTGGATTTGTAGAAAAGTTGGTGATGTAGAGGTAATTTTGGATTTAAGGTTAGAGATAGTTCATCTAGATGGGTCAGTTTTCCTGACAAGTCACAATCAGTTTCAAATAGATCAAACTTGTGCCACAAATTTAAGCTTGGTTCACATTGGTGCAACAACACAGATGCTCTGTATAAGAAGGACCAAAGCTGCCTCTACCTCCTGCTGTGGTCTGTTGGGGTGCAGGCAGCTCTGACCGAGACAGGAAGAGACTGAACAAGCTAGTTAACAAAGCTAGTTCAGTCCTGGGCGGCCCACTGGATTCAGGAGATGTGTGAAAGGAGGATGGTGGTGAAGATGACCTCCATCTTGGAAAAGCCCTCCCAACCACTGCATCCCACTGTGGAGGCCACAGACAGCTCCTCCAGTGGAAGACTGAGACATCCCAGATGAAAGAACGCTGCTGTAGGTCATTCATCACCTCTGCAGTAAGAGTGAATAACTACTCAGATAAACCGGTGCTGGCATTATCCTGGTACACATTAACATCAATGCAATATTCAGTATGTGCTGCTGTAGCAAGTGGATTTCCTGGCTGTGGGATCAGTAAAGTCTATTCTATTCTATTTACTTTTAAAATGATCCTCAAGGATTATCATCCTGTAGGTTATGTTGTAGTCCTGCTCAATTACACCTGGTTTAGTGTCTTTTCAGGATGTCCTCATATTCTTCTGAAGCCTGTTAGTCAACCATTGGTTT